TCAAGTAATGCTGAACGACCTTCGACTTCAAGTGTGATGTGTCCCTCTGAAGCTATTGTCATTTTTATTAATGTTTGTTGTTCACCTCTATAATTAACTTTCATCGTTGCAATAAAAATTAATATTTATAATTAAGATAGATTTCTTCCAGTGCCTATGTTTTTTTATGCAATTAGCACTTATTAGTGAATAAATTATTTTCGGTGTGGTTCTTTAATCTTGACTTCTGCAGCTTGCGCAATCCCGGCCATCAATTCTACACCGCACAAGAGCAGTTTGTGGAGGAACAGATGCAATACTCAGTACAGTATGCCTTTAATTATCCTTCAATAATATATAATTTTTCTTAATACGGAAATTTGGTTAATGAGAAATCTAGACCCTTATTTTGGAAGAAATTATCTCCAAAGTCATATGGCAACACTGAACACTGCATTTTTACATTTCATATGTTTAATAGCCGCAGTTTACGATTACCGTATGTTTCGTATCCGACAAGCGGAAGAGTCAGAAGTAACCCGGAGTCCCGGACATTTCTTACATTTTTTCATTGTTAGTTCGACTCGCGTAGTTGATATAAACTTTGATGAGCAACGAAATATAACATTTTAATAGGGAAACTTCATGTTTATTTAACTTTATTATATGGTACTACAAGTAATGATCTTTATTTAATTATAGCCATGTTGAAATGTTTTTTTTTGTGAAGCCCGCTCCTAGATCATTAAGTTTTTTATATACATCCTCATATTGTTAGGGACGCTCGCTGCTTCCATCAGATCTTGAAAAGTAAAAGTTTAATAGATACAGATTTGTATGAATAATGCCATTCAATATTGTTAGCTACATTAAATTGAGGGTGGAACAGGGGAATGGCACTTTAATTTATCTGAAGCAACCTTTACAAAATTAGTGTCAAACAAGCAAACGGATGTCATGTCAACCGGAACTCGAACACCACAGCAGAGAGTATTTTATGCAGCTAATGAATTTCGCAAACTTTGCTGGAAGAGAGATTATTGAATTTTAGAAAAATGGCGGGATAATTCAATGAGGGGTGGTGGCAGAACTGCAATCTTGATACTCTATTGCGATTCATGCTATGATAACCTACGTAACTTGAAAATACATGCAATGAAATTGTGTGTTTCTGTCAATGACTTAGTCATAATTTTCATATGATAGGTATAATTTTTGCACATTCAAAGTACGCATGACATAACATAACGCACCCAGATTTGGAAACTATAATTGCTCAAATGATGCAAAAATAAATGACAGACCATTGACTTATCTTGCAAATATATATAATCATATTTTGTATCACATAGCATAATTACGCTCTGCAATTATGCCATATTGACCTAATTTGTATAGTCCATTTACGTGCATTGTTATTAGGTATTGATCGTGTCGATTTTGCCGGCCAAGAGGATGTCGGTAATGTAGTCCCACCATTGTCATGCAGGTTCGTACTGTTGACGTACAGGTTCATACCCTACTTGCCACAACCAGTCCAGTCATTCATTAGAAGGCACCGATGGCACATCTAAAGCCATGTTGCCTTCTTTAGTTCTGTAATTCATGTCCGATTGAATTGTGATCCATGAATGAATATTCATTACTGTGCTGACTCTTAGAACCTGTCAACCTGAGTCCTGAGTTGACGCGTTACTGCGTTAGCAATCTAGGCAACTCATATCCAAATCCAACCACATTACCACAACACAATGTGGATACACGTTTGTGTGTATGGTCAGTGTAATTACGTAATTTGCATTGCCGCACGTCCATATTTAAACTATTTTAGCTTTCTAAAAGTACGGCGCACGGCGCATTTTTTTACCAGCATAGTACGGCACACCGCGCAGGTCGTTAAAATGACAATATAAATTCCCACGCACGTGGCACATATTCCTGAGTTTTGAGTCATAATTGCACACATTATGACTACCGGTATCTAATAGCTTTTTTTGAACGATGTATCTTACGCATGGAAATTACTATGGAAAGAGATTGGTGTCCAGGTTTTCATAATCCTGAATAAAATTGAGGGTATTTACATTGTTAGTTCAGTTATATTTACCTTATAGAGATCATTCATCGTATATATTGTCTTGAGCTTCTGTTACAAGCAGCATTTCAGAGAAAGAGTAAAATCAGGATGTATATCTCAAATTATCGAGTGGGACAGAGGACAGCCCACTTTCATTGAACCAACTAGAACTAAAGCCAGGATGCACTGCCATGAATGCTACAACATACTCTCAGCAAATGAGGGAAGTGCCATAGCAAAGGTGAAACTCAAGGGATAAAAAAATACCTTGGTCATAGTGGCAAAGCAGAGAGTTTTTTAGACTCTCTCTCAAGTTCATTTTTGAGTCCTATAAGTAGACCAGTAAAGTATCCTGGATACCAGCATTATTATACTTAAGAAATTGGCTTAAATCTTGAGTAAATGAGGAAATTAAAAATGAACTGATTCTAAAAAAGCTCTGGTTTGCCACTATGACCTTGGTGACTGTGAAGGAAAGTCATACATGTGCGATAATTGTTTTTCAATCAGGTATGAAGTATAATGATGTTGGCAACACCCAATTTTGTAGTTTCAGATCAATAAGAAAATATTATATTTTCTTTTCATACAAAGACAGATATATATATTGCTTTTATCAATGGACAGAAATTTCGTAATTTTTGTATTACTTGCATTTGAAAATAAAACTATTTCTCTAAGCAGGAGTTGACTTCAAAGCATTCCCTAACATGCCTATTTAATTGCATCATTGATATTTTAAATTTGAAAGAGTAATAAGATTTTATAAAAATATGTATTTTTCATAAGAATGTACCACATGTGTACACATCGCGATTCTGAGAAGTACAGCGTGTACATACATGGCGCACATCGCGGCCAACGTGTTAACGAGATGTAGACTGTAAAGCACGACCACCCTTGTGCTCTTACTAAAATGGAGTAATCAGTAATGGACTGAATGGATAGATTCAAACCACCCGTGAGCCTTGTGGGCCCTTCGGCAGGGTTGTTCAACACATGGTTGAACTAAGGTCAATGGGTCCTGTGGAGCTGTTGTCCGCCACTCCGCCGGACTGCTCCGAGTCAGGGTTGCCAAATGGAGCCAGGAGAAAAAGGCCAATTCAGCTCACAAAAAAGGCAAAAAATGACCCTGTCTAACATCAATAAGAAAATTTTTACCTTCAAGGTAGTTAAAATCGTTTACATTGCGCACATGTTATCTTCAGATTTTCAAACAATAAAGAATTAAAGATTACACTAATTTCACTATGTTTACGATCTAAATTAGATCGTAAATATTAGCGGCTAGTTAGCACATGTAAATAGCCGCAAGCCCACAGCGAATTATACTTTACTTATCGATCGTTAATAAAAACTGGATAATGCTGGTTAGTGGTAATTCAATTGCCACCAAACAACTACGAAGCTTTACGATAGCGCTAGAAAGTTATGGCATTGACGGTACATAGACGGATTTATACATAGAAGATTATGAAATGAATTTATTTCAAACCCATTTCTGCGGTAGAAAGATTATGTAGTCGCTGCAGGATTTAAGTGAATATTGAAAGTCACTCCTATAATATAAATGTACCAAAACTTTTAAATGTTTATATTATATTACCTCCTAACATAACGAACGAAATACGTTATATAAATCGAACCAGATAATGGAATACCTTGCTAGTCTATGACAATTAGCTGAAAAAAATAATTTGTCAAAACTGCCAAAGAAAAGAACTATCAAGATACTAGTCTACACTATTGAAGTCAAATTATCCTCAAAACAAATTTTAATGAGCGTAGGAAGAATTAAACCAATTCGGAGTGAAATTTTGAGGTGTCTCGCACTAAAATGGCTGAAGGTATCGCGAAACAGCACTGTAACCACAGAAATTACTATTCTTCAGAGAAGTAACTATATGCACTCTCAGCTCTGCCATCATGCAAGTTATTATACCAGAGGGCAACTGGATATAAACCATATTATAGTCCGAGTTTGGCGGTACTCGACCAGTGTTGCCACCTCAACGGAAGTTCAGACAAAGTTACATGTAGAATAAATGTACGCATCTTGGTCAAAGCGAAGTTTTGAGAGGACAAAAATAAATATAAAAAAGTTTTAGAGTATTATTTCCATAAAAATGCCACAAACGGATAAAACGGCCAAATAAAAATTTTTAGGCCAATGCATTCGAGAAAGGCCACATTTTCTAAAATTGGCCGGAAAACGGCCAATCTGGCAACACTAGTCTGAGTCCAGCTCTTAGTAAGTACCATTTTTTAAGGGCAGACGTTATTAGTGGTGGATGAATTGGCTGATGAAATCACGAGTAAAGGAAGTTGATTCAACAAGCGACGAGAGATTTTGTTGAATATTTAAGGCGGTCCTAACCGAAAGGAATACTTTCAGTTTTCCACGAGCAGTTTCTTTCGAGAAATATTAAGTATCAAGAAAAATTTCGTCTCAGGAGTTGGAAGTTGGACACATATTGCCACTATTTAGTAAAAATATGAGTTCTGTAAAAATTCAGCACCAAAGACACCAAGAATGTCAAATCGCAAGAACTCAAAATACGATCAATGTTTCTTAACTTTCACGAATTTGACCAAAAAAAGTACTAAATACTAGTATAGTAAATTTACCAGGAGTTGTTATGGCATTTTAAAAAATCTTTTCATTTCCAGAGAATTGAATAAGGCTACATTACACCAACAGTAAGTACTTATATTATCAGCCTGCTTATATCGCAAGTTCACAAGGAATTTAAAAGCAAAGAAAACGCCAAGAAAATTCACCATATCGATATTGAAAACGTTTCGGAGTTCGGCTCTATCATTTTAGTCGAACTGATGATGGAGCTGGACTCCGGAACGTTTTAAATATCGATACGGTGAATTTTCTTGGCGTTTTCTTTGCTTTTAAATTCCTTACCAACAATAAGGAAGAGGGAAACAGAAATGTTGCAATTTGTACTATTATGCTAAATCCAACTAGAAGCATTCCATTCATCAGAGAAAAAGCAGGCAGTCCAACTTAAAGCATTCACTTCATAAATGACTGACCTTCAAAATTCGGAGAGCGCTAAGAATCTACACTAAAAAATCTCGTATAATCACAGCGATAGCTACGGCACCGTAGAGGTGCCACTCTAGTTCAACAAGCGGGATACCAGAACCAGCGATTTTGATAAACCAACACAAATATTATATTAATGTTCTGTAATTGCATAATTCGATTACACATCAACTGCAGTCCACATCATATAACTCTTGCGTAACGAATATTCATTGATACCTGCGGCAAAATACCGCGTAAATTTTTGTCACCTTCAATAGAAAAAATTAACTAATTGAAGCAGCTAAATCACAAAAAAATTTTGCGTCGTGAAACTAATGGCAGTGGAAGCAATTACGTCAGTAACAAGATATAATTCCTACAACTCTTCAGAAAATAACGAGAAACGTTTAAAATGAGCAGCAACACAACATCAACTGAAAGTAGTAATCAACTTCCCTTACGATGACATTGAAGCAGCTCTCCATGACGCCACAGCAATTTATAAATTCAAGCCTAGAACATTTTTCTTCTTCTTCTCATGCTGTGCGATACATCAATTCCGAGCGTGAAACCCAAGAGCAGGGAAACGCGAGCCCCTTCTGCTGTTATACATTCAGGTTCAGAGAATCGTATAAGATAAAATTAAATAATGAAAAGATAACAACATTTTGCTTCTGAAACTCTATCACCGATCACATAATCTATCCGAAATAAAATTGATCACTGTAATGGCTTCGTTTGCACCGCTAGAATACAATTGAGTTTCGCCTGCATTGTGCGGCTGAGCTCAGCAAGTCAGAAACCTAAAATGAAACCTTTAGGCGTAATTGTGTATGGAAGATTCGGCACTACGAGATTCAAAAGCATGACAAATTCAGCCGAACAGTATCTTTGAATACCACGCACCAATTAAGGCGGTGTAACTGGCTGTCTCTATGTCAAACGCTTTATCGACAAATATCTTCAGAACCATGGGACCGAGAACAAATACAGACACGACGGAAAATTTGGCTGGTAATCGAACGTTCTCGTGAAGAAAAACGTACAATGGTAGTCACAAGCGGGGCAAAATAAATCAAATTAAAACATGGCCCTAGCTTGATGATTCTGAAACTCGTTCAACATGAAACAGTGCCGATTTGAAATATTTTACTGATAATAAACTTAGAACTTAGACAACAAGTAATAAATGCACAAGTTGACATGACCAGAATGTGAAGAGCGCATACACAGAGAGACCAAACTAGCATTTAAAACCAAAAAGAACAGTCATAACTCTACAAGGTTGAGCTGAAAATTTGTCGCAGAGATAGATTTGTCGTTTATGTTATCTGTAAGCCTGGGTGAGGCCAACAGATAACATGAACGACAGCTAAGCTCAAATATCAAACGCTCAGCTAACAGCTGCAAGTAGAACTAATAACAGCACATTTGTACAATCTAACACGCAAAACAAATGAATATCTACATAAATACTTTGTCTTTCTAGGGGGAAGATTTTGATTTCGAATTAAAAATTGTAAAAATTTTTATCAAAAACTGAGGACTTTGAGACTCACGATTAAAGCGTCTACGATTGGGGGCGGAATTATGATCAGTTATTTTATATCTCGTGAGACTCGTTGTCAAAAACTCGTACTGTTTAATTTCTACATAAATATTCCATACATGTCGGAGGCCTAAACTCACTTCAAATCGAAGTACACAAAAAAATATCTCAAGCCATTTAAATTTTCTCCGATTTTTAAGGTAGCCTCACAGTCAAGAAATACTGACGTCACTTAAGCCTTCTTATCCTCTGGATTGAACATTTCATTATTCCAGAGCAAAGTTGTTCCTAGCCTGAAATGCCAAAATAAAAATCAAATATAATATAAAGCAACAGAAGAGACAGGTATCTGAGAGACATAACATGTTCATGGGGACATGTAAAATCACGTAACATGATAAACAGGTTCAGGCACCGCGGCCCTAGCAGGAAGACAATATTTCCCGAGCAGGAGCGCCGAAATATTTACCAAATCTTCAGCCCAACAGCAGGCAGATGATATATGTGTGTTTGAGAAACAACATGATTATGGTGGCGCGTCACTTGAGTACAATGGTATAACTACTTCATGAACAACTGTCATGATCCGACTCATTTCGTAGCGTGAAGAAGAACTCATTTCATATAGAGCGACATGAGGGCAGGGTTCTCGAGGAGCGACTTCCAGAGGTTCGAGAAACGCGCCATAGTAGCGCCGTCCACGACCCTGTGGTCCGCCGACCATGACACCTGCATGATGTGCGCTGCCACCACCGCGCCCGTGCTTATGTTGTCTTTGAAGCGCGGCAACACCTGCGGGGCGTTGTGGTAACAAGTGTTACTTGTGACGGTATATAGATGGTGTGGTGACGGTATATAGATGGTGTGGTGACGGTATATAGATGGTGTGGTGACGGTATATAGATGGTGTGGTGACGGCATATAGATGGTGTGGTGACGGTATATAGATGGTGTGGTGACGGTATATAGACAAGATGGCTGCCGAGTCTCTAGACCGCATCAGAGTGTAGCTCACACGAGCCACAAATTAAAGCAACAGACCGGCGTTTGAGGGGCTTGCCGATCAGACCACAGACGTCGCTTCTTCTTCACTATCATGAAATCATTCGATTATAACGAAAAATAAAATCTCTGGAGAGTAATTCAGGCACAATGAGCAATAATAATAATAATTAGCCGACAGTGTGCCGTGCATTTTACGTCTCCAGTTTCTCAAGGGGAAAGATATCAAATTAAAAGCAAACAGAAATATTACGTGGAATGTTAAAAAAAGTTCGTGTGAAGTACATCAGTATAAAACACTAAGTTTAACTAAAAAATCACAGCATAAAACTGGAATTTTAATCAAAATATCACCTGGAAAAGTAAATTCGATGAAACTTTCATTGAAATCGGCATACGAACATCAAACTCGAAAAAAGTGAAGGCAGATGCCTAAATGTGTAACGTTTAAAATAAAACTGAGCCGATGAGCTGAATTGCGATAAACTATTGAAATGCAGAATAAAGCGAGTATTTGCTGGCAAAAAGAGAAGGACGAACCTGTATTTTCCCAATAGCACCGATCGCCACTTCAGTAGGAGGAATAACAGGTTTAGCGTAGGTGCCTCCCACCTGCAACGAACAAGATCGTGCGTCACTTCACATTATATAGTAAACACATGCATTAAGACATCAAAATAGTAGAAAATCTATCAAATTTGACTTGGGATAGACAGGTAGTCTGATTTCACGGTTGCCACACGGTTAAAAGGATATATGAGAAATGACAGCTTTGTCATGGTAAAGTTGGATGAGAATGATTACAAAAATACTAATACATGGCACCTATGCCCTCGAATATTTGAATAACGCAGAACAAAAGAAATGTCCATAATATTAAATTGGACAATTAACTTGCTACGTACACATAAGCAGATGGGCAGCTGAACTAGAACCAGTTCCCCAGACAAAACTTCCGACACCCTGACATTATTATAGATAGCAGAGACATAGAAATTATTTTAAAGGCTGTCAGGTATAGGGTTTCAGTTACAAGGAGCCTACCTTTATATCATAGATACTGTCGTTTTAATTCAGAAAAATGTAACGGAAGATATCGCTACAATTTAACGGAAGATATCGCTACAATTCATCAAGAGCTCACGAGTGAGAACGACGAATGAATGCTAATCAACTCGTCCATTTCGAGCTTGGCCTGACTGGTCTAGCGCTAGTTCGGCATGACTCCTTCTAGTCCTTCATTCCTGCTACTCACAGTGCCGATGTTGCTGAGGGTGAAGGTGCCGTGCGTGAGGTCGGCAGCACCAAGGGCCCCCTTGGCTCCTAGCTGCTGCAGTCTGTTGAGCTCCTGCGCACACTCCAGCACCGTACGCCCCTGCACCGCCTTAATGTTCGGCACCAGCAGCCCGTTCGGCGTGTCCATGGCGATACCAATGTTATGTGATGCCTGTAAACAATTATGGGAATAAAAAATTTAAAAGCAAAGAAAATAGCCAGAAAATTCACCATTTCTTAAAAAGGAAAACGTTTCGGAAACCAGCTCCATTTGTCCATACATCCGAAAATGTCTGTGAAAACGTTTGACCGAAACATCAAATGTTGCTGAGGTACAAGTAGAGGAAGAATAATCGTCTGCGATTAATGGATTTAGCTTGAGAAACCATAGTGATTAGCTGATGGAGTTTCAAACTCATAATTATTTGTGATAGTATGGCCCCTAAATAACAATATTGACAAAGACCTGTATATGTAGAGGCAATTAAACTAATTCAGCAGCAAACTTTCGTCAGGATTATATATCGTGATTGTGGAGGCTTGACGAGAAATGATGTTTGCAAAACAAAAAGTAGGAATGAGAAGAGCACAATTATGAACTAGTGTAAAGACCTTTAATATGGAGTTCGCTATCAAGCTAAAAATTACTCGTCCTATCACTGTAAATAATGATTAGCTTTTACTACGCGTGATTTAATCAAGTAATGCTTGTAAGTAGGCAGAGGGAGAGAATAGTTCTCACCTTATAAGTGATGTTCTCGCAATTCTTATCAACAGAAGCATTAAGGACAGGGAAGTGAGTGAGGGCGATGGACGCGGCCTTAACAAAGAGCGGCATGTAAGAGAAGCGGACGCCATATTGCTCCGCCACCTGCTTCATGGCGAGCCTGAGCCCCACCAGCGCCGTCAGGTCCACCTCGTCACAGTACCCGAAGTGGGGGATTTGCTGGGGGGAGGAGTGTACTTTGAAGATACTTCGTCATAACTACAACTCATTAGGTGGTAAGCAGAAGATACTTCGTCACAACTACCCCTCATTAGGTGGTAAGCAGAAGATACTTTGTCACAACTACCACTCATTAGGTGGTAAGCAGAAGATACTTTGTCATAACTACAACTCATTAGGTGGTAAGCAGAAGATACTTTGTCACAACTACCACTCATTAGGTGGTAAGCAGAAGATACTTTGTCACAACTACCACTCATTAGGTTGTAAGCAGAAGATACTTTGTCACAACTACCACTCATTAGGTTATAAGCAGAAGATACTTTGTCACAACTACCACTCATTAGGTTATAAGCAGAAGATACTTTGTCATAACTACCACTCATTAGGTTATAAGCAGAAGATACTTTGTCATAACTACCACTCATTAGGTTATAAGCAGAAGATACTTTGTAATAACTACCACTCATTAGGTTATAAGCAGAAGATACTTCGTCATAACTACCACTCATTAGGTTATAAGCAGAAGATACTTTGTCATAACTACCACTCATTAGGTTGTAAACAGAAGATACTTTGTCACAACTACCACTCATTAGGTTGTCTCATTAATAAATATAATCAATTTAATCATAAATTTAATCCCGTTCTCTGCCCAATTACGGTACCTATATTTAATATCATCATTATTGCACAATACAAGAGTTCAGAATGAGCACCTTCTCATATGAGCCTCTGGATACAATATAATGCGAATATAGCAAGCATGCAAGTACAGGAAGCTCACCAAGGACGCAGTCATGGACTTGACCATGGCTTTCTGGAAGCCTTTGATGGCTTCAGTTCGGTCCTTGCCGTGCACCACAGGCAGGGAGGTGGGCAGCAACATGCCTGCAATCACGTTTAATGTTTTTTCGCTATTATATCTTGATGTTCAATGCCTATTAGTTATTATATCTTCATGCTCAATGTCCATTAGTTTTATATCTTCATGTTCAATGACCATTAGTAATTATATCATCAGAAAAGCAGGACCCAATTGGCCCACAGCTGCATTAAGCTACTGATATATAATTTTAGATCTGAACCAGACACATGCCTATTTCTCGGCCTGCATAGAAATACAGATTTCAATATAAATGTAGTTAATTATTTTGAAATTATGAAGATTTTAATTTTCTTGCAAATGAATTTACAAGATTTCCGCGGAACTGACAAAAAGCCAACTCATCAGCAAATGCTATGCATCAGAAACAAGCTGTGAGCGCACTTGATTTGCAGAGACAACAATCTTTAAAGTTACTAGAAACTTTTAAAAATAAATTTAAGGTATTAAAGCTTGAGCAGATGTATGTTCTTGATCCTCATTTAAATACGAAACTGTTGCATTCCCTTCTTGCCAGTGGAGGTATTTATTTCAATTAGCCTTCGTTTGACATCCTGTGACTCTTGAGAGACACACAATACAGGGCCGAGCCTGCTGTAGGTGACATCTGTGTTCTGCTCGGCTCATTGTATGTGGTCATACAAATGACACACAAGACACAACACAAGACCTGCTGCAGCGACGTCTGTGTTTTGCTCATCTCATTGTATGTGGTCATACAAATGACACACAAGACACAACACAAGACCTGCTGCAGGCGACGTCTGTGTTTTGCTCATCTCATTGTATGTGGTCATACAAATGACACNCACAAACACATGCGTCAGACATAACAATATCAGGCAGCTCAGCGCCATGAACGTAGCTGTCACCTGCAGCACAAACACATCTTCAAGACTCAACAATTCCAATCTGTTGAAATCAAGAAAAATGTAGAAAACATCAATAATAAAAATAAGTTCAGAGAGGAATCAGTCTTAATATGCCTAAAAGCACACTTGAATGAACAAAATTTTATTAAACAATGCAAACATGAAAGGGAAATTTGCATTTTAATACAATTTGCATAGAGCCAACCTAACCAATGAAAGAGTTTGACTTTCAAATAAACGTCTTCTAGTTGCCATTTATGAAAGACTGAGTGTACATTGTGATTGAATAATTTTAAGACAACTAAGAGGCAAAAAAATGGTTAGAAACAGGTAAATAAACACGAGGTTATTGATTAGAAACTGAATAATCAAGCCAAATAAATCTACTAACAATTATACTTGATTTGTAATGAAGAAGTCCTCATTACCACTAATACTACAAGACATGAATAGGAAAAAGCATGTCTCATATCTGTGATGAAAAGCATAACCACAAACTAAAAAGAATACTAAACCCAAAGACCTTTTTGATCAATTTACAAAAGAATTCTTTAAGGTTTGAATCATAAATGCAACCCATAATTGGGTAAAATTCAATACAATGATCAATTAAATAATTTCCAAGTTGAGCTTTCTCAATTCAATGAAACAAGAAATGCAATAGAATGAGAAAATCAAAAATTTAAAAAGTGAACAACTAAATTCTTTTCAAAAACTTCAGTGCTAAATTTCACACAAAAATAGGACAAGGCAACAGTGAGAGCGCACCATCCTTGTTAACTTCAATAGCAATGAGGGGCTTGCCCACATAAGCTGTGTCATCCACTTGGTAGTGGAGCTTGGCTACAGTGCCATCGTAGCGGCTCGTGATTGTGACACTGGCCTTGTCGGACTGTACTTCACAGATGTTGTCAAACTGCGCCACTTTGTCTCCTTCTGCCACAAACCTGCCATGATTTGACACATGGAAATTAGGAGGATAATTTCAGTGTTAGAAATTAGGACAGAGAAGTTAAAGTTTCTTATTGGCATTGATATTTGAATTTAGGCAGATCTCTATCTATCTCTGCCATTTTGCCCCATTGATAGCTTTAAGGTTTCAATGTTTTTAAACATTCATCATAACTAGCCCTGGCTTGATAGGCAACTTAGTGTAATAGAGCTGCAACAAACTGCAGCAACCTTATATTCTCAACTCAATGGAAATTGGATCGATTCTTTATTTTGAATCAGAGATCAGAAACATGTGAACAAATTTCTATAATGACTAACTTATATTTAAATATAGTTTCTTAGTAAAAGAAAGTTATCACTTACCATTCTTTTACAATAACTTCCTGAATACCTTCACCAATATCAGCTAACAAGAACTCCACAACTTTAGGAGTGGCACAGGATGTGTGCAGCTGATGGATATGTCTTACACAAATTTCATAATGACTGTGATCACAAGAGAGATGTGGTAACATGTTTCCTCTTGAAACACATGAGCCATGAGGAGAAGGTCCAACTTTCAGGAGGCCATAAGTAGAGCATTTCAAACTTGAATATATGGACAATGACTTCAGTCCTTTGTTCTAAAGAGAAAAATAAAAACATGTTGAAATTAGTGCCACAAGTTAGGACTTAAAAAATACCATAACCACACACATTCTATGACCAAGTTGCAACATTCAATCAAAAAATGAAGATCATTTTCTTCATTCTGTTAGCAATATTTTGGTTATTCCAATATATTCCTAATGAAAAAGCATTCTTCATGACTTTTTCTTCAAGATCTATTTGATATTGATTAATACAAAGAATTTTTATTTAACCTTGTGTAATTAACAGTAAAAATGCAAGTTAACTAAGTATGTAGTCATGTAATTGCATTTGATAGAGCCAGAAGAATTAATAAACTCACCAGTGTCTGTGTAAGCAGAGGCATCTTTAATAATTTAGTAGTTGTTGATAAAGTATTCATGGCTACTGTGAACTCTCAGGTATATGTATATTGTCTTACCGTAATGCTAAAGCCTGAAAACATAAGATATTATAAATTACCATAAAATGGGATGACTTTGACCATTTTTTTTCAAAATGATGCCATTTTTACAACACTTCTCTTTAACTTCACTTCTTGTTTGTCTGCTTGTCTGTCTGTCTGCTACAAATCTTGTAATCAAAATTTAACACACTTCTACTTATCCTATCAATCTGAAATTTTGCATACTTGTTTAAAATTGGAGACAATGCATGAATCAAATGTCAAAATAAATAATTTTAAAGATTAAAAAAAAATTTTTCAATATTAAAAAAATTGAAAAAAATAATTTTGTCAGCTACAAATCTTATAACTGATATTTGACACACTTTTACCTGTCTAATTGATCTGAAATTTTGCACACTTGTGTGAAGTCAGAGGCATTGCATGAATCAATTAATAGAATAAATAATTTTAAAAAACATTTAAATATTAAAAAAAATTATATATTAAAAAAATTGAAAAATTAATTTTTTTAATATTCGAAAATTAAATGAGAAATTCATGGTACATCTTCAAGATTGGAGACACTGGATTCTTTGGAAGCGTTGTCTTTAAAAAGTAACTTTTAAACGTATATTATTTTACTAGATAAGTTAAACTTAAATTGAAACATGCAAAATACAGGTCTATACTCTAGCTTTACTCACCATAAATTGCTGGCTCCTGCCTCTCATAGTTTTGATGTAATTTCAAAAAAAGTGATGGTCTTTGTTACCCCAGCTCTTGGGGTTTCTAGACTCCTGCGTCTCGAAATAATTTTCTCGAAATGAACCGGGACAGACTAAACGAGACGAGAAAATTCCGGGAAAAAAATAACGGGACAGAGGGTAAAATTTGTCCCGGAATAAACGTATGAACCGAGACAAGTCTTCTGTCCCGGACTTTAAAACTTGTGTCCCGGTAAATTATGAACCGGGACGAGAC